CACACTTTCGTGGGAATCTCTAAGGTTAAGATGTATTCCCTAATTTGGGATTGATAATGAGCATTAAAAAACCGGGGCTTAGATGATATAACCAAAGTCCTCTTCCTGCCTTCTGATTTAGAGGTTGCCAAGAGAGAAGAATTGGACTTGCCTTATTTGATTGAAGGGAAATGTAAGTGTACTGCATTAATATGGAAGATGAACACATGTGTTTAATGCACACTAAGAAGGGAAGGCAGAGGGGAATGTTGGGCAGTTACTTGAAAAGTGACTAAAGTATGTGCCACTTTGTGACTCTGACTGCACACAATGATGTTGAACTCAAGTTCAGTTGTTTTGTAAATGGCACGGCGGCCAGCCGAGGGAAGAGAGAAGATGACTCCACTCAGGGATAACCAGGTCCACATTGTATTCAAGTCACACAACAGTCACAGCTGCAAGTTCCGACTTGTCTTTTGTTCCAAACAAAGATATGGCCTTGCATTCCCTGGCAATTTGTTTATAATCGTCACCACAATGTAACATTCTCCAGTGTGTCACAGAAAAACATGACATAAGAATATGAATGCAAACATATGAAAAAAAAAAAAAAAGCCCTCAGGTGGTTGTTAATTTTTGGCACTGTGTAATTACACTAGTTTTTTTTAAATGTTATCTTTTGCCAGTATCTAATTAGCAGAGCCATCTGCTGAAAGAGCAGTGGCCCATCTGCCTGGAATGTTGTTCTCTTCATTTTTATGAAAAGTATCTGCCATTGCTAGTCCCTGTCTAATTAACTTCTCTTGCTGTGGAATGTAATAATGCATAGCTTTGTTTATATATTTCTGAGAACTGTGGATTTATATGTATGTTACACACACATCAAAAGAGCCAATCTTTTTTTTCTTTCCAACATCTGATTTTATCCTGAGATCACAGATCCATTTATCACAACTGGAGCAAGTCTGCATGTGGAACAGTGAGGTGTGTTGTACCATGAAACAGCAGGCACTATCTTACTCCCCCAGGTCTTCTGCAGATATAAAAGGGTTTTCTGTAAGCATACCCTGATTGTAGCACTGTCGCTTCCTAAGAGTTGAGGATGCGGTAAGCTCAGTGTACAACTGGATCTGAGAGAACCAGCATGTGGCTTCCCTAACAAGGCAAACGAACACTGTTGCCTTCTTATATCCAATACTGTGCTGTCTAGGCCTAGGAAATCTGCTTATATTTTACTGTAAATTCATATCTGATGTGTGCAATTGTGATCAATATGTCTGCTTTTCCTTCCATCAATCACTATATAGCAGAGTACCTTATGTCTGATATCTGATAGATATTTAATGACTTTGTTAAATGGAAGAGAGGTATATAAGAATAAAGCAAAACTTTTATGAATTGATAGCAGACATGTTTTTTTTAACGTATTCACAGAAAACAATTGAGCCCAAAGGAAATATTTGTATCTTTTAAACACAGATGTTTCAAGCTCTTTGCCCACCGTAGATAGTCTTTGAGTCCTCAAGTAACCACAGTATTTTGGCTAGGTCTGCTCCAAGGAAACATACAATGAACACTAAATGTTGAATAGGAGAAAGAATTAATATTCTTGTCTCTCCTGGGCTAACATGCAATAAGTAAGGATAAAAGATGACAAAACTTAAAACTCTTAAAAAGATAAGTCTCAGGAGAAAAGGTCCATGAGAGTTGCACTGAAATTTGAAATGTAGGATGCCTTCACACTTGTTTGGTCGTCATAAAGGTAGGTTTGGGTGGAAAGTGTTGGAAATGAATCTGAAGATAAGCAGTAAGACAGCTTCACAAACCAGTAGTGGATTTTGTTCCAAAATAATGATATGTGGATGGGTTTAGGGAAACTTTCATTGTTGTGATCAAAACACCTCGAGAACAGCTTGGAGAAAGAAAAGGTTATTTTGGGCTCATGTTTTCTAAAAAAACAGTGGGTGGTAACTGGCTTCACCATTTTGGACCCAAGGAGAGGCCAAGCATCATGGTCAAGGAAAACAGCTCACTCATGGCATCCAGGAAGCAGAGAGGGAAAGGGGAAGGCACCACAAGAAACCTGCAGCCTTCAGGGCACCCCAGGGACCCCCCTCCTCCAGCCTTCAGTGACCATGCGGTTAGTCCATTCACACCAGGATAGACTGATGAGGTTACAGCTCTCATAATCCAGTCACTTCACCTCTGAACATTTCTGCACGAACACAGAAGCTTTGGGGGACACCTCAGATTCAAACCACAACAACTGGATAACAAAAGTCTACATTGAGAATAGAAAGAGAGGGTTTGATTAAAAGGGACTCAATTGATTAGGATGGATCTAGCAGAATAGAAGATTCCTGACCAGGTTTAAAAGGAAACTAAGTTCAAATGGAGGAGTGGATAACTTGGGGAAATGAGATCTGAGATAAGAAAGTGCCATTGATATCTGTGTTGGTGTCCTATGGACTATTTCTTCCTTTCATGATGCCAAGTGATCCAATGGGCAAAGTCCAGTTTACTGAGTGATAAGAAAGACACTATGGGATTAATCTAGAACTCAATTCTCATGTAATCTGGAAAAGTCCCTTTTGCTCACTGCATTCTTTTTATAGTTCTGTGATACCAAATGGTATGTGTTTATCCCTCCTATTTTCTGCAATAAAGTCCTATCCTTAATATGAAACTTGTCTAGATTCCGTCTTCTGTCTGAGGTGAATCCACAGAAAACCTATATCTTTAATGAATTCTGGATTTGAATATTATTTGCATGCTAATGACCCTGTAATAAAAATGCCTTTGGAAATTCATTTTTCTACTTTTAAAAATTGTCTTCAGAAAAATCTATAATACTTGTCTTATTTTCTGTTGGTCTGATAAACTTGTGTGAGCAGTGGTTATTTTCAGTAGACTGGGTAAAGTAGTGAAATGTTTATGAAAACTCCCACATTCTTTTTTCAATTATTTTCCCTTTTCCAGTCCTTAGCCAATATTTATCTTGAAAATGAGAAGGCTGCCCAAGCACCAGGTGGACTTGAGAAGCTGTTTGTTCTCCACGTTGGCAACAGGGTCTGAATGGTTTTGATGGCCCGTGACAAACACTATTCCCCCTTAATCTTGGGAGGAACCCACTTTGTCATAGTTCTTGTGTTTGTGGAAGAGGCCACTAATAGCCAGCAAAACCACGGGACCAAGGAGAGCCACTATGGATTCCTTTTTAGCTGAAATATTCCTAGTAATTATAGAACACTGGTTCCTTGCTGACTTACAGCACAGTGTCCTCAGATGACATAAAATGACAGTTGTGAGGAGTTCAACGGTGCTAAAAGAGTATGTCACGTCCTGTTTTCAGTTTAAGTAAACACAAGACACACATATCTTTATTTACATAAAAACAACAGAGCAAGCTTTAAAAAGAGATCTCAGGGAGGCACAGGCTCCTTTTCCCCTTTGCCTCCTCTTCACTTCCCGGGATCTGTAGACACACCCCTGGATCTTGTGCCCTGCCTCTCCTTCAGAGTGTCATCACTTTTGTGAGAAGCACTGGCCATTCTGGATGGAGCTGTCTTCAGCTGCATCAGAGGCTGATTAGCTGATACTTCACAAGTGTGACCCTTCATCAGCACAGGAAAACATCACAGAAAGGATCAGGAATTCTCTTATCTGATGTTGACAGGGACAGAAGTCCCCAAAGTCTGCACCAGGGAGAACAGTGACAGTGTTGTTTCTGTTCAAGACTCTCTCGTGGTTCTCTCTGGAATCTTTTCTTATGTACTATGTTTGCCAAGTTAGATAAGTTAGACAAGATGCAGTGCATTATGACTTAATCTCTGTTATGTAATGTTCTTTGGAGCACGGAGGATATTAGATAAGTTGTTAGCTTGACTTTATTATTCTCCCAAGCATAGGAGAATTAGAAAAAAAAATCACTAGCAATAAGGGTAAAGTCAGTATTTTCCTTCATTTCATTTGATATTAGTTTTTATTTGGTTTAGTTTAGTTTATTATTTAACATTAGTCTAAATTAACAAAATATTCTCTCACTTAGCCATTTTCCGGATAATGACTTCACTGGTATACATCTCAGTTTCTTCAGCTATCCAATCCAAATAATAACCCAGAAAATAATTGTAATAGAAGTCGAGGAATTGGAGAAAATATTTTCACCCTATAAAAATCTACATGCTGTTCAGTAATAGAAAAATAAGACAACTCAGATGCTCCAACTTGTTCAAAATGATTCACAATCTCAGTGTATCAATGTGTGCAGGCATCATTTCTTCCTATAGAGCAAGAGCTTTCTGCTACTTTCACTCATCACATATTCTGTTTGTGATTTCATGTGTGAAGATGTACATCTCAAATTGATCAGCATGGATTAGATTTGGAGTCAGAGAAAAACATTGAAATGTCTTGGCTCTCAATATTTAGTCAAAGCTAATAACAACATGAAAATTGCTGGTATTAGAGGGTAGCAGTAGATGGACGGGCTCTTTGCACGAGCTAGGTATTGACTGTCATGTGTGTGTATATATATATATATATATATATATATATATATATATATATATATATATGGACATGCAAAGCTTCCCTCACTCGTCATCTAGGAATATGGAAGAGGGACGTTCTCTTACAAAGAATTCTTCAGGTCTAAGTGAGCATTTAGGGCCTTATGTTTCTGGGTCCCTCCTTTCAGTCTCCATTGGGTGTGTCATGTGGTTTTATTGTCCTGATTTCCCTTCAGTCAGCTCATTAACTTGTCTCTAACAGGGACTAGATCCAAAACTCCCATTACCAGCTTTAGAAAGCAAATTCTTGCTCATGAGTCCTTTCAAGGCTTAGATTTGGATACCAAATGTCAGCCCATGGCTGGATTTCATGCATTGTGCTTTATCCTATCCAGGTGTCGATGTGGGGTGCACCTGCATTTTCTAACCTGGTTATCAAAGCCTTCTTTAATGTCCCCCTTTTGTCAATCAAAGCCATAACATTTGCTGTTGCTTTGATGTTTTCTACAGGCCGTGGAGTGGGGGTGTGACGAGGCCACCAGGAAAGCCTGTTACAGCAAGGGCAAATCCAAGGTAAGGAGGGCATGGGACCAAGGTCATCGCCTGCCTCCAAGGACTCTGTATAGCATTGTGACTGACCACATGGTGCCCGGTAATATAAAAAAAGCAAGATTCACTATATGCACACAGAATATGCTCTTATTTTTTACATTCAATGACAATTGATCCCAACACCAATCATTTTCACAAAGGACAGAATAGAAGGCTGGATCTGATTTGCACTGTCAGTCATACACTCAGATCTGAACTTGACTGAAGGCTGAGTGACTTTGTAAACTTGTCCCCCATCATCTGGAGAAACCCCCCTCCAGCAGGTGTGCAGGCTGGCTCTGCCTCACCCTGTACTGGTTTCACTTGCTGGGTAACCAGTGTCTCCAAGCCTCACCTGCTTCTCTGCCCTTGAACTAAATGGTTTTGAGAATCAAAGGCTGAGTCTGGGCTCAGTCAACTTAGCCATCAGGTTTCCCAGAAGGGAACTGAAAAAACTAGGAACCAAGGAGAGGAGCTGGAAGAAACTGCAGTCTCGACCAAGGAAACCCTGGGAGACAAAGAAAACAGAAAGGAAAAACTGATGATATTTACCAAGAGATATATATCTCCAGAGAATGTATCTGAGATAAACATCAGAAATGAAGGGGGGAAAAAAGTAGTTAGCTCCAAGGAGGAATCAAAACATGGCATCTTAAAATATCTCCCAAATAAATAAGTGGGTAATAAAAAAATCAAAAGCACATCAGAGAAATCTTTTACCTTCTCAATGAGTTTTATAAATTATGCATAAAATGTTTAAAAGGGTGCTTTTGAAATGGTTCTTTTCCTGCCTGTGATGTTGCATTGTCACGTTATAGATTCATCACACTCTCTGATCCTCACCTTACCTGTCAGGGCTCAAGGAGCAGCCCAGGTCCTTTCAGCAGGGCCACCTGGCCTAAGCCATGAGCTGAAGGAGGCACTGTCTCAAGGGCTCAGGATGGGAAATGACTTTCTTTCTTCAGGGTAACAGGATTCGCTGATAGGATTTCTGGCCTTTGTGTCCCTTGAGTATTAAAGAAAAGCACCAGATAACGTAGCCAGGGGCTTGACCACGTTGTTTGTGAGACCTAATCTTAGAAAAATCTGGGAGGCTTCCTTTTCCTAGTATGTTATTTCATTGGGGAGGAAAATTACTTTTGCTGAATCAAATTGCCCCCCCCTTTCACCTTAAGCTGTGGTCAATAGATGAGTGATGGTTAAAAATTGCTGGGCATGGTGGTGCACACCTGTGATCCCAGTGGCTTGGGAGGCAGGGGGATTGCAAGTTGAGAGCCAGCCTCAGAAACTTAGGGAGACCTTAAATAACTTATTAAGACCCTGTCTCTAAGTAAAATTGAAAAAAGGGTGGGGGTGTTGCTCAGTGGTTAAGCACACCTGGTCTCAATCCCCAGTAACAAAAAAAGAAAAAGAAAAAGAAAGAAAAAAGAAAAAGAAAGAAAGAAAAGAAAAGAAGCAAGTAAGATCCATGGGATAGGAAAAAGCACTCTCAGCTTCACTGCAGGGACCAGATGTTCCCACACCTCACTGAGCTTTTCTGATACGGAGAAACAAATTGAGGAAAACACATGATGTCAAATGAAGCCATACCTTTATGCTTCATGTTTTTGGATTTGTGGGTTAAGTATAATGGCAAGTCTTATTAATTAGAAATTGGTCCAAACTCTGTGGGTTGAATTTGTTAAGACTAATGTGTTAAAATAAATGAAGATGAATTTTAAGTCCCATATGCTTTGAGAAAGATAAATCACGTTTTCTTTCAGGTTGCATTCAGTACATTGATAAATTCACCCAGAGTTTTAAATACCCTCTGCTCCTCTGAAATAGCATTCGGTTTGCACAGCAGGACTGTGTGCAGTGGGAGTTCACGGGTACAACATGAGGTGGTGGCTTCGTGGAGGTTTGGGGCCACTGCAGCCTGGCCCATGGGGAATGAGGGCAGAGGGTCCTCCATCTCCTGTGCAAGTCCCCTTCATATCTGTCTTGCTTTCTTAAAATGGTCATTGACATGATTGCCATCTACAGAATGACTCAGGCACAACTCCAGGGACACAGGAAGGAGAGGAGCCAGCTGGTCCCTAGGGACAGGAGAAACCACCCCAGGCACTGGGACCAACTCAGATAATGTTTTCACAGCTTGATGGAAATGTAACGTCTCTTTGGAGAAGTGGAATTCAGGCTTTTCTTAGTGATCATGAGTTTAGAAGGAGAATTCAACTGTTTTGTGTTTGTGCTTATATTAGAGTATTCTGAGAACTTAAACAGAATTACAATGTTTCTCTTCCCCCTGAAATAAAAAGAACAATGCAAAATGTGACATCTTAAAAATGAGAAAAATGCCAGTCGTTTGAACTGAACTCATTTTTTTCCTACCACCCCCTCCCCCCAAAGCAGCCTGTGCTGCTCGCATAACACATCTTACTGCCAAGTGGTCAGAATGCAGTGCGTGGAAGGAGGTAGTGGGGTGGCAGGGATGTGCTGCCCCGTGCCCACTTGCTCTTCTGATGAGAGCATTCCTCCATAAGCTGCAGAGGACAACTTGTTTCTTATTTTTCTGGTGTTCCTGGGGCTAGGAACACACATCATTTCACGGGTAGTGCATGCAATTTACAATTTAGAGAATCCGGTCAAGAGAAGTTATCCATAGCTTTTAATTTGGGCAGGACTAAGCCAGAAGGTGGTACTGAGATGCTTAGTTCTTTGCAAGGTTCCACTTCTGATTCCCTTAGAATATGTTCTGCTCGCTGTAGCTGCAATGGCTTAACCATCAAGCAGAAAAGAATCTGTCTTTACGGATTCAAGACATATTATAATGAAATCTGCTGCATTTAGTTCTTTCTGAAGTAGCATTATAGAAATCACATTCTAGAGCTATTTAAATGTATTTCACATAAATGTTAGTTTAAAGACAAATAGTCAGCTGTATCATCGAACAAGAGTTCCTTGTCTGTGCGGGGTTCTTGTGTCTGGACGGGAGCTCCTCCCACCCTGACATTTAGGAACTTGACACAGAAAACACAACTGACCATTGAGGGACTGAAAGAGCTGCTTTATGCTGATGTTACACTTTGTAGTTCTCAAAGGGCTCTTATTTATGATCCCATCTCTGGATTTTTGACACTAAGTCCCTAGGATTGTTTTGCTAGTTAGTGGGATCATTTTGATTAAAATCCAGGGCTCTCTGAATTGTTCTTCCTGCTGTATCCCTTGGTCTTACTTCTTGAGTTGCCAAAGCATCTGGTAAAGAGGTAAACTCCTAGGGATGAGGAGAGGAAAGGCATGACACCCCCTGCCTAACAACTTGGTGGTTGACATTTTCATCCGAAGCCTAAATATTTATGAAAGCTGTAATCAGTGTGTGTGACACACTATAGAACCACCTCTGTTCTTTTTAATCATTTTGAAAATAGAGTGTGTTTTAGGTAAAATACTAACATCATGTTAAGATGATGCAAACCAATTTTTTTTTTATTTTGTTATCAAGGTATTTAAGTATCCTACAGAGTCAGTGCAGTTGAGAATATACACAGTATATTTTAATATATTAAGCCACTATACATCATGTAGCATATAATATACAATTATACACAGGTGTGTGCTTATTTATTCCTCTTTCTCTTTATATGTACAGTCACAGCCTCCTCATTCTTGGGTTCCACCAACCAGGATCATGTGCTGTGGAGTGAGGACCACAGTGGTCCCATCTGTACTGAACATGCACAGATTTTTTTTTTTCATTTATTACTTCCTAAACAATACAGCAACTATTTGCATATCATTTGCATCGTATCGGGTGTTATAACTCATCTAGAGATAATTCAAACTCCCAATTCAAATTGGGAGGATGTACAGAGTTCATACAGAAATTCTACCTCTTTTTTATGAGGGACTTGAGATCTTGGTATCTTTAGGGTTCCTGGAACCAATCCCCATGTATACCTAGGAGTACTATATATTGCATCTATAACATGGATGTACATATATGCATGTTTCATACACACACCACACACACATCTGATTGGACACTATGTGTTTCTTTCTTTTTTTTTTTTTTTTTTGAGTCATCTGGTAATCATGACTTTGGTCAGTGTATATTCCCCTTTTAAAAGGTTCCTGCTATTACTATAAATGTCTGCTCTTTAGCACTCTGGGTGCTCACAGACGTAATGCATCAAGACAAAGCCAGTACTGTCACCAGGAATGCCCCAGTTGGCCTCAGGCCAGAAGGCTTCCAACCCAACCCCTCCTCCCTGGAATCCATAGGTTGTGATGAGCTGGGTGCTTCTCAGGTGACACTAAGGGGTCTGCTCTTTCTGCAGGTCTTCTGTTTACACAGATAGGTAGGTTTTTTTGTTTGTTTTTAAAGCAGAACAGACCTGTTGAGGGGCAAAAAAACCCCACAACCATTGTGTCTGTAAAACACAACCATTTCACTCATTAAGAAATTAGCCCTAAAATGTGCTTTCTCTCCAGGGTCTGGGTGTAGGACACATGTCCTTGAAACCAAGTGGGCATTACCCATCCCTCTGGAAAGCCCTGTCTGAGTCAGTGACCTTGCATCTGGGCTATCTAGTCTCATAGGACTTGCTGGGAGTCAAGGACAGGTGGATCACACAAGGGTCCCTTTGATATTCAAGTGTTATTATCCAAATGTTCATTGGCACTGCTCAGTGTCAACCAGAAGCCATGTAGCAGCAGGCTGCTGTGGCCGGGGAGATGTGCACTAGCACATGCTGGAGAAGTAGAATTCATTAAATCCTCTTAACCCATTTTTAAGGTAGAGAAACTGAATAAACCAAAGAATTCTTAGATGAGAAAAGGAAAAGCATAGGTATTTAACTATGCTGATTTATAAGAGAAACCTTTAAAAAAATCCCCAGGGGATTCTGCACAGATGGTGCCTGTAGTTGAAAGTGGTGATTCCAAACACTACTCCAAGCAAGTTCCCATAGCCCAAGAGAAGGCCGAGTGGGGACCAGGGATTAACAGAGAGATTTGCTGGTACACCTTCCACCGGATTATCTGTGTCTTCGAACCGCCTGCAGGAGTAGGCTCGGTCTTGCAAAGCCTGCACTCTATGCCATTTCCTCTCATTCCTAAATGTAACTGTGCTCAGAAGCTGAGCACCTCAGCTTTCTTCCTTTTCTGTTTTTGCGTTTTTCTGCTTGTACTTGCCCCCATCTCTCTTTATAAGAAATTATTGCTTTAAGTGTGTGTATTTAGATTTCAGGTGAGACAGTTAGTGAGTTTTCAGAAGGTGAGCACAGGGAGAACCTGAGCCTATCTGAGCCTCATGTCTTGATGACACAGCAGAGGTGCAGCCTCCACTGGCCTTCACAGGTTGCTCCTCAGGGACCTGAGTGAGCACACCTTGACCTGGACTCTTCCTCCTGCAACCTGTGCCTTTGGAGCTCACTGTGACCAGGCCCATTAGAACATTGCCCCAGGACCCTCAGCAGGTTCCACATCGTCGTATGTGTCTCCAGGTTCCACAAGGCTGGGTCTGTCCTCCATCCCTTCAGAAAGATTCTCACTGGCCACCTTGTCTGGCTGCCCTGATCCCTGATATTGACCTCCTCCTTCCCTCCCTGCCTGCAGCACAGAGGAGCCCATTAGAGGGAGCAGCCCAGTGCATTCTTCTATCCTCTGCTCTCCTGCAACAGTTCTGCATCCTTCTCATCCCTTGTGTCCTCTGGGATTTTAGACTGCCCCTTTTGTCCAACCGGCCTCTCTGGCACACATGCTGCTGCATCCTGATTATCACACGACTGACCTACTTTCCAGTTCTTCGTCAGGCTTCTCATGGGCCATCAGGAATGTTGCAACCTACAATCTCATTTGCTCTTTGTTTTTCTTGAATGAGATTGAGATAAGCACCCCCCCATTTTCTATCTGGATTCTTCCCCTTTCCAAAATCAACTAGAGGCCCTTGCTTTTTCCACCGGGCCTGTAGAACTCTGCTGCAAGACCGTATCTTTTCAGTCTGCATGACCTTCTTGGAATAATTCATCTGTGACTGTGTTGTCCCTGCTTATCTGACTGCTCCTGGTACATTTGTACCCAACGGAGGCTCTTGCTTTAAAAAAAGAAATGTTCCTTTCCATCTCATCTTGTTGTTAAAACAGCTCTAAAAGCAGCAACAAAATAAACAAACAAAATCCCCAGTCCTCTGCACTTTTGGTGATTTTCCGTCCTGCTCTCTACCATGGCGTCATTATCTTGTCTGTCACCCATCATGGCCCTTGGGCACACTTGCCCTGTGCTCTGGAAGATGTCACCCATCACAGGCCCTTGGGCAGGCACATTTCCTGTTTTAATTCTCACTGGACGTCATGCTTGCAGAAACTCCCGAGCATCTCTTCTGGCAGAGTGGGGTTTCTGCCACATCCTCCTATTTCCAGCCTGGGAAGGGACTCTCCGGATACCTGTGCTTGACTCTTTGCCTTTGGGACTCTGCTGCCCTTTCCCCAGTTTAAGGAGGTCAGAGAGCAACATGCTTCTCAGGCTGCCTCAACTTCCCAGTCGCCAACGCGACTGTCTCTGTTCACTCCTGACTCCTTTGAAGTTAGCTGAGATCTTTCTGGGTTTGTTGTTTGTTTGTTGTTTTTTCTTTTTATTTCTCATTTTATCAACCAGTGATGGTTTGTTGTTACCCTTGTTAGTAATAGTATTTCAATACATGTTTAAAAGCAGACTCAGTAACTGGGTGCTTTTCCTTGTCAGAGGCAGGCTGTGGGTTCTGCAGATCAGTATCATATTTGAGATGGGGCTTCACTTGGGCTGAGGGAGGACTGCTCTGCCACAGGATCTGCACTGTCCTGAGTTCATACAGTTCGTGATTCAATTATCAGGACACCATGAGATGTCACCTGTGCCCCTATCTCTATGTCCTGCTGATTTGCCAGGTTCTGGCATTGTCCTTTCACATCTGACACCTTGGTCCAGGCATGAAGTGACAGAGTGGGAATTATGAAGGGGCTTCCTACACGCCCCTTTGCTTCATTCTCCCCATGTCTATCTTATCTTGCACATTGAATCTCAGTGTCCTCTAATGGGAAGCATGAGCTCAATTCAAAATGTCACTCACTAACAGCATTTAATGGGTCTTTCAGTGTCAGGACAAAATGCACACTCTCTAGGCTGGCCCAGGTCTCGCCCCCAGCGTATGCACTGCTTTCTCTGTTCCAATGAAGTTACTAAGCTTTCCCTCACCACCAAGCCTCAGCCCAGTGCAGTACCCTAATCTGACCCGATGGGATTTCCCTCCTTTCTCACTAAAGGCTGGCATGTACCCTTTAAGCACCTCCTCCAGGAAGCCACATGCAATCTCCTTCTTCCTTTAAAACGCATCAAAGGGGTCAACTCCTCAGGAATCCTTCCCACCCCTTCATTCTTCCTTTCCCCTTTGGAACTGAGTAACAGGATGTTCCTCTGTGCAGCCTCATTATAGCATGTGGACAGCTCTATAGACAAAGTTATAACCCTTCTAATTTTTCAGCCTTAACTGTGACTTCTAGCACTGTGCCTGCTGGATAGTAGCCGATGAATGACTGAAGAGCTGTCTCCTGCTCACACAGCTGTCACTGCTATGGCCATACCACAAAAAATAACCCGTCTCTAGATTTTCCCCAGCATGGGGGAAACCCTTCTTTATTAGTAATATTTTTGCTTGTCAATCAGTGAGTTAATAGAGTCTATAGATATTTCCTGTGCATTTAATACAATTCGAGCCTCTCAAGAAAAACTTGTTCCAGTTCTTGACAGTTTTACGTTTAACCTTCCTAGTGAAGAAGCATTTACAAGGTTTTTATGAAGTGCCAGGAAGGTTTTCCAAGACTCTGTTTCACGAGCAGCATCTAATAGATTCCTTTTATTTATTTTCCTAACACATGCCCAGGAAAATATAAAGTTTGTACTACAATTCAAAATGAACTCATGATGATCAAAAGAAGATGCAAACTTTGAGAATTTAATTGAACATTCTTATATCATTATGAATATTTTCTGTGGAACTAGTCTGTAGATATGGAAAGCCAGATTAACATATTTTGTGACTTTTGGTCAATATCTCAGAGGCTTATTTATTTTTTTATTAACCAGACAAAAAATGCACTCATGCTTCTCTTCCTCTTCCTTAGAGGCCTTGTCAATCGTCTCTTGCGCTTTTCTTTTCCAGGAGGAGTGTCAGAACTACATCCGGGTGCTTTTGGTGGGTGGCGACCGGCTCTTCACCTGTGGAACAAATGCCTTCACACCGGTGTGCACCAACCGCTCGGTAGGCTGCATGGGAGTCGCCAGAACTTAGCTTTGCAGATTGTCCAGACCCTAAGTGCATTTCTATACAGCAAGGGGGTTCTCTTTAATTTAAAAACAATTTTGATAAAATAAATATCTAATTTTTTGATTTATTTCTAATTGAAAATGCTAATAATAAAGGAAACAAATAGTTATTGGTCCTTTAAATTATTTCAATTAGCATTTTCCCTACCAGTGACCCTAAACATTAATCCAAAGCATATTCTTTGTTTTTCTTATCTAAGAGATATTGTTTAAGTATCAAAATCAGAATCCAGAGGAAGAAAATATAATCTATAAATTGGATTAAAAGCATGAAAACAGAGAGAGAGAGAGAGAGAGAGAGAGAGAGAGAGAGAAGAGCAAACAAATATGAAGAAGGGTGAAGTAAAGGTACAACTGATCCTCTCTCTGATCCTGTTGTTCCAGACAGGGATCTTCAGTAGACAGGTCGGTCCCATTGTAGGAGCGTGGCAGTATCAGCACGCATGCCTGATATCTTCTTTATCAGAGAATTAATTTAATTTTTCTTAGGGTATATAATGAGAAATGCCACTATGTTAATCTCCGGTAGGGCAACTTCTCTCCCAACCTTAATTCATCATGTTTCTACTGTTTCTTCTTTAAAACTTAATGATCAGGGACTGGGATTGTGGCTCAGTGTTAGAGCTCTTGCCTTGCAGGTGTGAGGCACAGGGTTCGATTCTCAGCACCACATAAAAATAATAAACAAAATAAATGTATTGTGTCCATCTACAACTAAAAAAATAAATAAATAAATAAAAACTTAACGATCAGTTATTGGGAATTAAGGGAGGAGGCGGACCCTAGGAGACCATGTTCCAGAGAGATCCCAGGCTCCGCACACACTTCAGTGCTTGACATCAGCAGTGTCTCAGTCCTCGATGTCTACCCAGTGAGGTGGCTCCTCTTTGTGGGCCTGTTTTATGAAAGAGTCTGAGAGTTTGAGTAACTTCCGCAGGGCCAGATATCCAACAGTAGACAAGCCGCGTGCCTGCACCTCCGCTGGCACCCTCTGCACTGTTCACTCTCAGTTAAGAGTTAGGACCCAAATTGGTTCTTGCCAGATTCCACAACCTCCACGGAGCTCCTCTCATTCAGTAACTGTCAGGAATCCTGCATTTGGGAAGCTGTACTCAGCAAGATGATACCAGGACACCCCTGTGGCTCTCAACTGAGAGGAAAATATATTACAGGGATGCGCATACATGGTCCACACACCGCCCGTCATTACCAGGAACACATTATTTAGGGCTACTTGCAATTTTTTTTTTATCCACAGTTTATATTGATCAAATTGTATATAATCATTTATTGTGATTTATATATCTACCGATATTGAAGTGGGGTTCTTCATCAAAGGTGAAAATAAGCAGCACTCATGTATTATAAATCAGAACCATAAATACAATAATCTCACTTCACATGTTGTGGATATTCAGTAGCATGAGGTGCAGTGGCTCTAAAGGAAGCAGACAGACAGTGAATGATAGGTTCTCCAGTCCCGACCACAGGGCTGTCTTCATGAAGTTGGAGTGTGAAAGTCTGTCATCTCCTATGATCCCAGAGAGTTTATTGCACACTCTTTACTCAGAACTGCAGAGACGGGGTCCACCAGCACCTTTTAAGGGTTCCTGGAGTCTAACTGCTGTCCCCCTTGTCTTCACAATAGTTGAGTAACCTGACCGAGATCCATGACCAGATCAGTGGCATGGCACGCTGTCCATACAGTCCCCAGCACAACTCCACGGCTCTGCTCACGGCTGGTGGGGAGCTTTATGCTGCAACGGCCATGGATTTCCCAGGGCGTGATCCCGCCATTTACCGAAGCCTGGGGATTTTGCCGCCTCTCCGCACGGCCCAGTACAACTCCAAATGGCTGAACGGTAAGCCGCACAGTCACTCCAGTGCCCCCTCTCATTTGTGTGTGACACTGTGTTATTTGATGCTTGAAAATGAACTGTCAGACTTTCCAAAGAAAATCAAAATCTCCATTTTGTAAAGAAATGTAAATGTAATGCATTTACTAAGGATTGGAAGAGCATCATGTGACTCTTTAGTAAATAGAAAGATCAATGATGTTCTTTACCCGATAGGCCATAATAGGAGGGCTTATGTTATTTGACCAGTCATCAAAGTTCAGCTGCTTTTTCCTGATCTGTTGTTTGTTTGCCTGCTCATGACAAAGTCAGAAGAGGGTGCTGACCATCCAAGCCAAGATAGGCTGTGGGTCCTGATATGTGCTACCTGAAATCCTGTGCTCTGCACATGCATGAGTGTGACCTCACACACACACACACACACACACACACTCACAAAGGCAGTGTGGGTACCATGTGTCACTCAGCATTTATGTGGTAGTTTCCAGAAAGATGCTGTCCTGAGTTTGCCAGTGTGATATTTACTAATTTGATGTTTCCAGCTATAGGAAGGTTGGATGCCCTTTTGCCCAGGACAAGGGAATTGTGTAGACAAGAGTTTCTCACCCCCAGCAACAGTGCTGTTGGGGGAAGGTCATTCTTTGCTTTGAAAGAGGCATTGTCCTTGTTGTAGGGTGTTCAGCAGCATCCTGACTGTACCTACCATTGGCTAGTGGCATGGCCCTCCACTCAATTGTAGTGACAAAAAAATTATAAATTTTCAAATATCCCTTGGAAAAAAGTACTGGTTTGGACCTATTACTGTGCATATTTATCTTGGTGTGTGTGTGTGTGTTGTGTGTGTGTGTGTAGATACACACACAAAGTATTTTGCCAAATTATATAATCAACTTAAGCATCACTGTTTGCCTCTAAGTACCCCCTTGTAGAAAAAAGAATGTCCTCATCATTAAGTTCCCACGGTAGCTGAATGGCAGTATTGCTTCCAAATGGCAACGTGGATTGTTCTCCCAAACTGAAGCAATAACTGGATTTCTCCCATTAACAGAATCTTTGTTGAATTGTTTTTGACTGAAAACAACACTTTATGGGCAGTCTCTTTTGGGCCCTGGAATTCCATTTGTGTGACTTTAAGTTGTTCTATTTATTGTTGATTTTTATAACAAGCAAAGGGACCAGTTGAGAAATCAAACAAGACCTCTGCCTGCCACCACAAAGGCTTGTGATTAGCATTGCTGAAAATAAACAAAGTGGAACTGGAAGCACCATGTCTCTCTCCCCAAAAGTGACGCCTTAAGAACATCAGGCCGCAGTGGGAGTTAGAAACACGGCTCCCTCCTTACGTGAGACCCTGAAACACACTGACCAGTCAGGTGGTGAGAGTCCCTTACCTTCCGGCTGGAATCCTCTCCATTTGGGAATTGGGTGATGTCATGCAGGTAGGAAAAGAGCCACCTCTGTGCTTGGCATGGTTGTGGTGGGCATAACGCTGTTATTTGCTGCACAGAGAGATTAATGTTTTAGATTCCTCCCATGGACTGCCACTCGTACATCTGGTAATTCCAGAAATCGAAAATAATTTGAAGGTAAATATGGTGGGCCTTCCACCCAGTCATGGTGTCAGTATAGCTCACATGACATTGAATAGCCTGCATTTCTCAGAAGAGGACACCCACCCTTGCATTTTCTGGCCTCCATGGGAGACCCTCAACTCAGGCAGAGAATGCGAGCCAGGCCTGAGGGCTCTCAGGTCTTGCAGGTGAAGTGCCATCTTGTGTGTTGTGGGGCACGTTGTCTTTTACTGAATCCTGAGATGCTGTTTCCTCTCCTGGTTCTCTGGCTTCTGACCCATCTTCCACCCAAGATGGACTCTGGCGGTTGGCTACCCTGTAGCTCTGCTGGGCCTGCACATAGGAAGATTTATTCTCACCAAGTGACTTGGAACCCCCCCCCTTTGCAAGCCATCTGCCCTTTACTAGATATGCTCATCCCAGGTCCTTTCTCCTTAGATCTTCCACTTCTAATCTCCCTCGCCAGCTCCCTGCAGACCCAACCCCAGGGAACCCCCGTCTTGGCTTCCCCTCTCTGACTCACGGCCTGCTGGAGAGAGTCGCCCCGCTGAGGGGAGGAGCGATGTGATGTAGTGTAGCCTCTGCCCTCAGCACAGGCCCTCAGGGTGACTCTGCATTAGTCACAGCCCCCAGCCCCCTCTCTGTCCCCCTTCTACTTCCCACTCCAGTCCTCCCCTACTCTGAATCTCAGCAGGTGCCTTTCACCTCTTATTTCCCAGAGAAATGCTAGGTCTCAGAGATGTCCCCCTAGGAGCCCTGCAAACATGCCTTGTATTGTCACTTTTGTCCACGGCTGATTCTTTCCCCTGCGTTCTAGAGTTACTTCCTTCCTTCTTTCCTTCCCTCCCTCCCTCTTTTCTAAAAGTGTCACGTTATTCATTGTCCTTTCTTTTTACCATAACCTCTCCTTTATTCCTCTCCAACGTTGACTGTCATTATTTTAGAAAAATGCTCACATTGCTTCACTTGTAAATAAGACAAAAACAAAGAAACCCAAGCCAGCTAAGTAAACAACACCTTATCTCTGCAGTGTCCAAGAATGCTCCTATTTCCTGTTGTAGTTTTAAAGCCTTTTTAAATGATGCTTTTATGCTCTGAGCTTTTAGCCGATTGATTGCTCCTGATTCAGCCAATTGATTGATGTGACTGCCAGGTCCCCTCCACCCGCACCACATCAGAGCCACCTGCAGTCCAATTCCAGATTGGGGCCTTCACTCTGACCACAGCACGTCTGGCCTTGTATCTGAGAGCCTCATGCTCTGTCAGGCTCGGGAGTTTCATGCCTACCTGTTTCCCTGTCCCACCTGTCTTGGGTGGACTGTGTTAGTGTCCTGAGACTGCCATCACAAACTACCACAGATGGGTGGCTTAAGCAACAGATGCTTATTTTCTTCAGTTTTAGAGGCTGGAGTCCAAGATGAAGGCTTCTGTAGGACTGGCATGTCCTTGCCGTGTAGATGGCCAAATCCTCCTGGTCTTCACAGGGGCTCCCTTCCACTTGTTGGTATCCTAATCTACTCTCTAAGGACACTGACCATACTGGATTCAGGCTGACACTAATGACCTTGTTTTAGCCTAATGACCTCAATAATAACCAGGTACAGCCATGTTCTGGGGTACTGGAGGTTGGGGCTTCAGCACATGAATTTAGGAGTACACAGTCCAGCCCAGAGCAGGCTCCACATTCAGCCATTCATCTGAGCTGGACACATGCACATCTCTGACGATTCCTTTCTCCACTCCCCAGACACACTGTACCCTGTCCACTGAGGCCCACATGCTGGCTTCTAGAACTGGGAGCTTCTTCCCATTTCCTCAGTTCTTGCCTGAAACGCCGCACAAGCCCCTCTCTGACCTTCTCTGCTTGGAGCAGCCAGCACGAGCTGTTGAATATGGTCACCTAGGTGGCTTTAGTCCCTGTCCCTTTCCTGCCTTCCCTTTGCTTGGAGAAGAACACTCCACTCTCTGGTGTTCTTTGGCTTGCAGTGACTGTTCTATGACCTCTAGCCCATCTGCTTGCTCTCTCTCCTCCCATCCATCCCTGTCAAGCTGCTCGCTGAAGTCCTCCCATGACCCAAGACCCTCCTGCGCTGGCCCATTGCCCAGGCCATCCCCTCCGCCAGGACAGTCTCGCCCAGATCCAGGGAGCTGCCTTCCCAGTCCTCCAGGCTCAGCTCCTGGGTCTCCCTGGAGGAGCCTCCTCTGGCCGTCCATCTTAGAACCTGCAGGTGACTGTGCCACTGCTCTGCCATATCCTTTGTGGCAGGAGGCACAATTTGTCATCACATGTTGATGTTTCCCATCTCTAGAAAGCTGCTTCCTTACCAGATTTCATTGGTCTTGTTCATTCCTAGGGATCTGCAGTCCCTGCACAATGCTGCAGGTGTTAACAGGTGAACTGTAGGGTGGAGGGGTGGTCTCCCTTCTACCAGTCCTCCGTCCCAAGGAGGAGCAGATGGACGTTTCTAAACACGTTGACTCTTATGTCCTTCAAGTTTTTACTAAGTCTCATTCTGTGTTCAAAGTGGTCACGATCACAGGCCTGGTAAGTAATTGTGAATGAGAGTGACAGGGCTCATGGACACATGGGACAGTGGGACTGAGGCAGTGACAAGTGCCCTTGGAACAGTGTCAGAGCCTGTGGTAGGTCCTCGAATTTTTCTAAAGAAGTCAGAGATGTGAACTGTCCTGTGCAATCCCTGGCTTTGCAAAGCTGGCAGCTGAGCAACCCTGTGGCTCCTTGAACCAGCACAGAAAGGCCACACGTCCCTTGCTAGAGGTGAATTCAGCCCGGGCTGCAGTTCCAGGATGAAGCCTGAACTCCGCCCCCTGTCAGGTGCCTGGGGAGCTGGTCCTGCCTTTTCATCTCCTGGTCTCTCTTCTCACCCTGCATCTTCTTCCTAGAACCTCCCTTACTCCCTCCCCTCCTGCACTCAGGCTTTGTTCTTCCGGCTCATTTCTCAGCACCCTTCAATACCTGCACTGAGAAGCCCTCCATGACTCTCCAGTTCTCCTTCCTCAGGGAACCACAACACCCGTTCCTGGCTCCATTGCCCTTGATCCGTCCCCGCCTTATTTGTATTTCTGTGTCCTCACTGTACTGTGGAGCCCAGAGGTTTGGGATAGCACTCTGCGCCTTTCCTGATGTTCAGTCTAAGGCTTGCGGGTGGAAGGCAGAGGCTCTGAAGTCAGATGGACTTGAGATTGAATCTCAGTTTCCTCATCTGCAAACTGGGCCTAATTATCCCCCTGAGCCTGCTGCTCTGAGACTAAGATGAGCCTGTGGGATGAAGATGATGATTAGCCCCAGGCTCCTAATTATCAGTTACCAATCAATTAAGGCATTTGCCATGAACTCCTCATGTCTGATACTTATCTGCCGCATGGCAGGCAGTCAGTAAGTGGTTGTTGACAGTGAATGAATGAACACTTTGG